AATGCTCAATAAAGTGAAGATTTCTCGCAGCATCAGGAGTTTACTGAAAAGAGGACAAAATCGCCAGCGCTCCACAAAATAACTGGATTGAATCATTGACATGTTTAATAGTCATTATGGGCAATATTGCCGTGAATAGCCAAGTTTTACACTGCCGACTTCTGTATAAAAAGGATTTTTATAAGCTATGATTTGAGCTTAAACTCTAGCAATGCAGTGGTGTATTCTTAAACTCACGTGAAGAAGCTTAAAAAATCCAGGAGAGCGAAAGGCACTATGAGATTTGTTTATTCGTGTCTTTATATACGGGTGCTTTTGTGCCATGTTCCATACCACCTGCAGTAGCCAACGGCTGCCTCACGGTGTGCGCTGTGGAATGGTTCGTCGCCGGTACACACGCACGGGTAGTTTGCATGACACTTCAAATTTTTCAGACTTTCAAATGAAGGGCGAACGAACGTCCGGGGGTCAGGGTTTGCCGAGTGCGTTTCGTACGACCTAGCAAAAGCACCACTGTATGTAACGGGAGGGCAGATAGAAATGACGCTGATATCGGCAACGTACAACAGCATGCCCCAGAAAAGAAACTTTGCCATTGCCGTAAATTGAAGGGTTTGGGACACGAATAACTTGGCCAGCTCATAAGGCTGGCAGATTTTTCTTTTTAAGTAGCTGCCGGCAGAATTGTAGCAACTGCCGAGCCTGGTGTCTTGGCTAAGCTACTTCACAAACACACCCAGCAGATGCCTTGCGTGTTTTTTTTTTCTTGGGTCATTCCTAGTGTTTACTGTAGGACGTTCAGTATGTTCTGCTAGGTCAAACGGTAGGCATATGCAGTTGAAAAATGTATTTGCTCACAAAGAGAAAATTGGAAAAAGAGCATAGGCAGCCTCCTTTTATGCGCCTAATTCATGATCAGTATTCGTGCAAAATTCCGGCATTCGCGAAAGGTTGATTCTCAATCGATAATCGGCTTTGAGTAAGATTGTAACGTTAATCATCCTGTAGCCTATTAAAGATTAATACTCTTTCGCTAATTGGCATTGACTCAATTTGTAATACTGATGATCATTTAGTATATTCTGAAGTCATTTCAATCATGGTAGGATGCGGGCTTTTTAAGAAGCTTAGTTTTGACCACCAACAAAACGTTTCTATTGTAAATGCTAGCAACTGAAGTAGTAAAATTTTATCAAGTATTTTAATACCTTCATAAATTTAAATTTATTTTATGTAAAACATACACGAAACATTTTTTTTCTGATACGTATTTGATAGCAAATTACGCATGCTTTATATTTTATACTTCAAGAAAGGGTAGATTTTGGTTAAAAAAAGTTGCTCAATTTTCTAAACTAGTGACCACTACAGTTTAATTCAAGTTTTCAAAACTGCCTACTGTGTAAAACCTGCTTCAGGAAAAGTACGCTTTCGCATTCAATTCCTAGCACGCTATCTGACGTGTGAAGAAGCGGACATTGAGTAGTTGAAAGCTGACCTATCTCCATAGTAGATATGGCTATAGTGTAAACCTGTCATTTTGACTATTCTGTGACCTTCTACCTTTCACATGTTCCCATGGATCCTTTACTTATATGCTGCTCACCGTGAATGGAGCAATTTTGCTAAGAATACAGGATATGGCCTTCTAAATAATACATCTGTCTCTCTGTCCATAAAAAAATCTTGTATCTGCAGTGTAAATTTAATTTATGAAAATGCCTTCGCCATGTTCCAATGTAACAACGCCAGCGACCAAGTGAATTAAGGTAATATCGCAGTTAAGCATCAGCCCATGTTTCTGCAGTGTCCTACTGTTGAGGGCTGCATTCAAAATATACAAGTTTGTAAAATGTTGATCACACATTGCATAACGGCATAAACGCATTTGCGAAAACCTATAGATAATGAATTACGTTAGGAAAATTTGATACTTCAAACTTATAAGAAGTACTCATGTTTTTTAAGAAAAGGAAAATTTCTTTGATCAGGAGACGTAAAAATACAACGTTAAATAGAACAGTAAATTAAAATATTTTCTTACTTTGAATACAAAACCTAGAAAATGTCTTTATATAAAGAGATATTTTCTTTCGGCAAAAACGTTAAGCCTATTTCCATTATTTAATTAAAATTCCTTTCATATGAAACCGTAAAGGCCGATACATTTTCGAGCATGTCCAATGCTGAAAGAATGAGTTTTGGATATTTTTTCTTAAAAAGATGGTAATGCGGGCCATATCTAAAAATTCCTCAAAAGAGCAGAACACACAGTCGAGCTGGGTAAACATTCACAACAGAAGATTGATATTGGTATTCCAAAGTTTAATATAAACAACATTTCCTCATTGCCTCGTTAAGAAGCGCTTAAGGTAAATATTCAGCTGAAAAGCTTTTGTTTCTAATTTACCGTTCGGCGGAATTTGAACCCGCATAGTAGACAAAGCCAAAGGCCAAAAGCCGAAGC